TGCTACAATGAACTTGGAGCCACTTTCCAAATCGGGAGAGCGCAAACCAAAAGTGCAATTTTCTTTGCTCACTCTGGATATGAACCAGTGTTCTGCTCCAGATTCTGAGTTTACATTATGCTGTATCGTTTATAGTGATCTGCTAGCAAGATTTGTAAGTGATTGCGACAAATCGCTAGCAGTGGCAACCTTCTTACGAGGACTAGTCATCATGCAGGAAATCATCCTTTTTTTGATTGATGCGAGATCTTTCTACCTACTTTCGCAGGGAGTTAAGGTTCCACACTCAGCAAGGGATCAAAATGATTCTCAAGACGGTGTATACTTGTAAACAGCCTACCGAAAAAAAATGTTTCGTTTGTTTTCCTCTTTACGATGCAACACTGATTCACATGATGGTACTTCCATCTGGAGTTTTTCCATTTGAATATGTGTTTGAAAATTCTTTGAAGTGAATATGTGGTGCATTTTTGATAGCAATTTGTTTTCATGTGACGTACGTTTTTGAATGTTATCGTGAAAAGGTACAAGGATTGCCGAGCCGTTGAATCGCGTTTCAATGTGGTTGAAGTCACGTCGTCATTAAGTCTCCCTAGGGATCCCGCAGGATATTTCATTTATTTATCAGGATGTGATATGAAAATGACCTGAATGCCCTTGATTGCTTTCTGACTGAGAAAATCTGGTTCAGAAGTGGATAATACAATTATGCCTAGTCGGTTGGGAAATCGAAGCTTTTTCATAAAGAAATTTCTCAACAATTGCTGCTCAACACGTCTTTTTCAAAACATCACTGATCATCCTTTGGTGGAAAATAAATTCTTAATCTAGTCAGATTTTATCACCCTCTCCTTTTGGTCATACTCTTTCTCCGTTGTTTGCTGCTATTCTGCTGCCATTCTACTTCAAAGAGTAATTAGCGTGGCCAAATGAAATTCACTGCTGTGAAGGCCAGCTAAGAGGTATTGTCTGGAGTGGGTGTCTGAGAAAGCTTTTCTGGTGAGGAGATTACGTTCGATGTCATGGTGCCATTTCTTTTCATGAACAATTCCCTCCTCTTAATCACTGAGCTAAGTAAAATTGCTGTTTACTATAACAGGCGTAGTTATTTTTACTCTATGTTGCTTAAGTTTCGATATGTACACGACGAATTTCAGATTGTTCCCTGTTGTATGAGAAATGGCAATGGCAGAATTTGCTTCTTTTACATAAGTGAATGGATTTCAGATAGACTATCCTGACGTACCGGTTATCGCGGCACCATCTTCTCCGCATCTGAAGCAGATGCGCAAAAGCGTACACTGCATGGATGCAGATACTCGTGCTATGCCACCTCCTCCTGTTCCTCCTCGACCACCCCGTCTGCCGCCGGCTCGGGCACCCGCTGCTCCAGTTCCTAGGGGCCTGCCGAGGTAACTGCGTTTTGATTTCATGTAGGAGGTCTTATAAATGTGACCATGTTCATGAATTTTTGGTTTCATTAGGTCATATCCCGTTGAATTTCCCATCGATATCCCCTCGACGTCATCATATTCCTCCTGTACAGAAAACCACAGAAGTCAGGTAAGACCTTTAATAAACGCTTTCCATTTTAAATTTTTCGGCTCCAGATTTGCTTAGCGTGCTTCTACTTATAATTCTTCATGCGTTTCAGGTATATCTGAACGGTTTAGTGTCTGACGAGGATACCTTGGTTCGTGTAAAACACCGTCGTGAAAAAAGCAATTCATTGAGTAACGTGGCTAACGGCGCAGCTCGTCGTCTTCGCGTCAGAAGGTAGTCGATCCCGTTCCAGTGGTATGTGATCCCACATACCTTCTTTTTGCAGCACTGCCTCATCAACAACTACGGAGGGTGACGACGCCAGTGGTAGTGCAGGAGTGGATGGAGTAGAGTCAGAAGAGGAGGACGATGATGGTTCTTGTCCCTCTCATGAAAGTTTTGTTGATTTGAAGGACTCTGTTCGTGAATGTCTAGAAAAGGAGCCTAGCGAACGTAATGCAGAAGATTTGGCTGTTCTTCTGGTAAGTTTTTCAAGATCTTTTGGATAAAAACAATGAAATCTTATAAAAATTTTTAGGATTTCATGCAACACATGTCATCATTTGCTTCTCTTCCTATGTCTATAAAAAGGCAGCTGTGCTTGAAAATGGTATTTGCTGTAGTGAACGATGCTGGTACTGTGGTAATGCATCATAACGAAAAACTCGACGCATGGTCAGTTTTGCCTTTGGTTATGTTCTAGAGGCTCTATCATATGAAATTATTCTCTCTATTAGACGAAAGTATGCAACAAGGGCGCTGTCATGTTTGGTGTTATAGGTCCGTCATTGTCAATGGTCTCGTCGAGGTGGTGAAACCGAACGGTGAAAGGGTTGAGTACAAATTAGGCGACTCGTTTGGTGCTGAACCAAATCCAGCAGTTCAATATCATGTTGGGGAAATGCGCACAATAGTTGACGACTGCGAATTTGTGTTAGTTGAACACAAGGTAAGAGATGGTGGATTATGAAAGCTGCCTGATCTTTAACATTTGAACTGAAGATTTGGAAGTAGAGCAATGTTCTGATGCCTTTAATAAGCATGAGTACTTGGTTATTTTCGATCTTCATTAATTTAGGATTTTTGTTCAATTATGTCGACCATTAGTGAGCATATCGAGAAGGATCGAGATGGATTGACAGGCGAAGTTGTGTCAGAGATGAAAGAAGAACTGTAGGAAGCCAAGTTGGCCTTGTTCTTATCAAGGGCAAGGTTGTTTTCGAACTTCAGTTTTTTGGCTTTAGTTGCAACTATGGCTTAATTACGTGTTTAGCCGGACAATTGATACAGCATCTAGTGGATGACCGCGACAGTAATGTGGATCCACACTATGTTGATGATTTTCTCCTCCCTACAGGGTCTCCATCATCAATTACCATTATATTCGAGAAGCTCCTGATGATGGTTTGCTGACGGAGCGCTTAGGGACAAGGTAACATTTTTTGACGCTACTCTAGGAAATGATTCTTATGGCCTCATACATGATCAACGCTCTCAATAAATGCTGGGACACATTTTGTAGGAAAGTGCATGGACTGCTTAGTCCTGTACCTGTACGTGAACAAACGAATACTCATGAGCAGAACTTACTATTCTTCTTCTGGTATATCATCGTAGGAACCACTAAGTAAAAAAATCGTTGGTTGGGAGTATTTGCCAGTCATAGGATTTAGTAATAATCCGGACTAGCAGGTTTTGGGAGTTTTATGTTCGCAATATGTATCCAAAAGTCAGATAGCACAGAGTGAGCTCAACAAAATGCAGATTGCTGCTCGAAGGCGGGTGGAGTCTAAATGGTACGTTGACTGCTTTGCTGAGGCAAGGGCTCTAACGTACACAGCCCTTTTGCCTTTAAGGCGCACCCTAAACTAGTTAAGAGCCGGCACTCGGTGATGGAGCCGACTCGTTGAGAGTTCCACCTCCAGATAGCTGAAAAGAAAGCAAGCTGGAGCTGATACTGTCACTCTCAAAAGCGAAGGTGCGGGTTCTAGCCGCTGGGCGAAAGTTGTGTTCACCAACCCAGCATTTCTTGTGAATACTGTCACTATCATTTGGTTCCATTTGTGAAAAGGCGCTAACTAAGACGGTGACTTGTAGTTTGACTATTTGATTCGCATCAATCGAGTCATTATTGCGTGCGGTGCGGCTATTCATGGTTGTTTGGATCAATCGACCATGTGCTAAATGTCCGCGGAATTGAAATGGGCGAATGAAGTCCATTTGACCGTGTTATAACTTATATCACTGCCAAGGCGCGTGCGGGAAGGGGGAAAAAAAACGCGACAAGGTTGCGTACAGCGGAGAGGGCGGCAGACGCCACGTTTAGCGCGATTGATAAAGATGTCATCGCAAGCAAAGCTTAGCGCGTGTCATCGCACTCCGAGACGCGACACGTCGGGCTCCTAGATAAAGAGTTACCTTTCTTTCTCACTCTCTGATGGATTGCTTGAAGGCTTCTAATCCGCCCGATGGCTATAAGGTCATGTTTCAAAGATTTCGGGCAAGTCTTCTTCTAATTAAAGGGAGCAATCACGCTGGCTTTCACGTGGATATGCCATCCTCGCGTTATCAACCGAAAAGATGTAAGAAAGTTAACCAGAATAGTCCATGTTCGACCTTCTTGCAATCTTGGCATGATTAGTTTAGTAGGAATGGTTCTTCAAGCTTTTCAAGATTGAACTTTTTATACGAGGCTTACGTTTCGGGTTCTTCGTCTTCGTCAGAGCCTGAAATGTTCAAAAGCATGTGTAACTTGCTCGCTTAAACGCCTCAACAAACAAAACTTTCAAAGTTAAAGGCAGAATTCACGATGAAAAGGTAACTCATCGGAAATAAGTATAAGTTAACATTGGGCAAGACCCCTTCCCCATCCAGTACGTCACTTTTCTTGTAGCCTCCATAGGAGTTATCGTGACCACTTCCTCTAACACGTTGATTTTGCGCGCGTTTTACGCTTTTTTCGAGGTTGGGGCTGGAATGATTGTGCAATTGGCGCCGTTTCACCTCTCATCCGTAGATTTTGACCTGTGAATACTCAAAACTTGGATACGACAAAATCTTCAGTAGCGCTCAATCGGGAGAAACACTAGTAGAAGCCTAATCAAATGACGTGTTTTGGTAATGAAAGTTCATATTCCAGCGGTTTTTGTTGTGCTGGGCCTCGAAAACAAATTTGTTCCAATGAAAACATGTTTTCCATATGTATGAGTCTTTTTTGTGCACAAAATTGTGGGAATATAAAGAACACGAGGAAAGAACCGAACTAGCGAATTCGTGTGGCTTAAAAAACCTCGCTGAAGTGAAGTATATTTGATTGTCCCGTGAAAATTCTCGTGTATACTCATATTAATGTGTGATCCAAACAATAAATACAGTTAAAGACAGAATCTACGATAAAAAGTTAGCTCATCAGAAGTAAGGGCAGAGGTGGTCAGTGGAGCAGTGATGTAGAAGGAATCATTTGAAGCGGCCCGAAACCCGAAAAAATGGGACTTCTCTTCGACCGTTGATTTGCGCATTGATGCGACTCTCATCACTGTGCCCTCTTCAACACTGCGCTCTCTCCGCTATTTAATCACTTTCCATGTATAGACCTGCGGCTAGTGGTTAAATAGATGGTCGGTGGGCGGACCCCGCCGACCGCGCCAACAACGTGCCATGCTGGGTCACCGAGGTCAAACATTTCGGTCAAATTGAGCGTCATTCCGCACCCTCGGGAGGTCCGCTATCGTGTATTCCTCCTCTAATGTTAAAAAAAGTAATACATGCGTTCGCGAAAAAAATCGAATGGCGGGTGCCAAGCGCATGCGCCTCGCGCTGTCGTCAATCCCGTTTAAAGACGTTTCGTTCAACACTTATGTGTCTCCTCCTTATAACTGCCAAACCGCTGCACACGTTTGTCATTGGTATATGAGCTGTCATTTCGCAGTTACGGGTTTTTGTCTTCACCGCTCCTACTTCGGTGCCCCTACCCCTGCGTGAAACTCGGGTCGGCTCCTATGTGCACCTCGTTGTTTATAGGCTGTTCACCCAAATTTATCCGGTGTTTCAGCCTTTTATGCCTTTTATGAACGGTGCTCCGGGCTAGGCCGACTTTTGAGGCAAGTAGGAAAGCAGAGGAAAAACAAACAGAAAGACGTTCAAACATCCAGGTAGACACAGGCAGGCACTCCTTCAAGTAGACTAATATATCGTTTCATATGTATTAGAATTTAAATCCATCCCAATTTATCTTGTTTGTATCGCTGTGTTTTTATCCGTCTCAACGCTTCAATCTACCTCTCCACCTTTCCAATTACTCAATCTTTCTGGGTCACCACACTTTTCACCTCGTGTCCAAGCTAATCACCATTCTAAACTGTTTCACTGTTCACTTTTCGGAATGGTTCCAGATCGCTCGCATAGTGTTGCTGTGGGTGAACAATCACTACAACGATTTTGAAACAATGATGAGATGACAAAGTTATTGGAAAGGTACGATTTTGGCCGCCTTTTGGAGCCTCTTCACTGCATATTTGATTCAGATTCGAGGGTGCTTTGGAGCTTCGAACAGAGTCTGCTTAATATTGCTGTTCGTGAAAGCCGTCGATCCGAAGCCCGTCCTCGAACGGTGGTTTACTCGAGGGCAAATAAGGTAGGAACAGGTCATTTTTGTATTTTGTTTCTTTTTCTACTTTTTTGTATTTTTAACTTTGATCTGACTGCGACTATTTAGGATGATGCGTTGCATTTCTCCATCCAAGGAGGTAAAGAGTGTGGTTGCGGTATTTTTGTAAGTGAGGTAGGTTCAGATGACAGCTTTTTTGTTTGTGCCTTCGTTATCACCTCCAGAAGTGATATTCATATTGCAAAGGCAAGTTTCAGGTGCAGCCAGATTCGCCGGCGGAGCGTTGTGGACTCAAAAGGGGGGACGAGATCTTGGAGATAAATGGGCAACCTATGAAATATCTGACCCTCGCAAAGGCTTACGAAATTTTGAAGGTTGGGAATCTGTGCCGTCTTCTTTTTTTGATGTGATTGTTTTCTGTAATTTAATGAAAGAAAATTTTATAGGGCAGTATATCGCTTGCTATCAACTTAAAAAGTAATATTCTTGGATTCAAAGAATTACTGGGAAAAGCTGAACGTGATGGCTCGAAGACGTCAGCGAAAAATAAAGCGCTAGCTGGGGTTTTAGCTCATTCTAGAGGTAGTGTACCGAACGTGATTCCCGTAAAAGCAGCTAAAACAATCAAATTCACCGGTGGGTCGCTTAGGATTTTTACAAACAACATGTTCATATCAATGAATGAATCTATGAGCTCTCTCTCTTACAGGACACAAAACCAGTATGATGGATAAGTTGATGACTATACTGAAATCAACGAAGGATGGCGAGGACACTACTGATGATGTACAGCACACTACCACAAGCCAGTTGCGCCCTAGCAGATCGAATCCTGATATTACCTCCATATCTCAATACTACGGCCCTGTGAAAAGCGAGTGTCCCGAGCATGTGCTAAAGATTTATAGGTAGGAAAATTGACTTATGGTCCTTGTTCCATAGAGTGTGCAAAATTGCGTTTTAGGAGCGACCAGACGTTCAAGTATCTTGCAGTATACAAGGAAACTACGGCTCAGAATGTGGTTCAATTAGCATTACAGGTTTGTCTTAGCTTAACATTACCTTTTGTCCTGGGCAAAGCTGATAAAGAGGGAACTGCAGTGGGGCTGTCACACGGTCCAGAGTTGAAATTTCTCCTAGGCCAGCCTCATTGTACCAGCCTCGTTCAAATACTTTTGGGCGCTCATAGGTAGTTGCAGTTCGACCATCACTAGTTGGACTATTTGAGAAATATTGCCTAGTGGTTTTTGACTTCAAACACCGAATGCGTTACAGTAAAAGTTTTCCAGTGGATTTTCATGTTTGCGAATTGAATCATTCCGTGTTTCCTGAATTGGTTCAAGGGCAGGGAGAGGTAGCAGAGCTGCAGAATAAAAGCGATATGTTAGCCGATTTCATAAAAATACTAGAGATGTCTTGCTTGTCAGCGAGTCTCAATATGACAGGGAGGGTAGTCTAGAGTCGGTCTGCTTTGTGAATGCCACTGTTAACGGAGGCATTGGCGGTAATCAAGCAGGCGTCTCTTCCACCACAAATGGAAAATTTGGCCAGACGGCCGATCGCACTTAATAGCAGTCTTTGTGTCCAGTAGATTCTCTGTCTTTTTATTTTATTTTTAGGCAGCAGGTTCAGCATATTATCTGAAAACTAATAATCGCTCAGGAACCCCTTTTCGCCATGATTTAGGCTCCTGAAATCATGGAGAGATGCTTCAGCCAACAGCTACTGAACGCTCAACTGACACAGCGGGCTGGTTTCTTTTTCTAGTTCACCGTAATTCTGTACCTGGAGCGGTATTAAACAAGTTTTGTTCAGGTTGCTGGCCAGCGCAACTCATCTCTACAGCACTTGCTGTTTGTCGGCCTCTATTCGAACCTAACGAAATATCTTGATAATGGCTTTTCAGTTAGAGTCAAACGGTAAACAAAATGCACTTATCACTACCTTGTCTGGTGCAAGCATTTGGGAGTTTTTTTTCAAGATATGGTTCACCTCGCTTAGAGGAATTCGAGCGTATTTTCATATCGTTGAGATTGTGTGTGTGGCCACCAGAAGGCTGCTCTGAGACACACACCAAACGCGCCAAGCTGATTGCAAAAAGTTTATAAAAGTCGCTATAGGTCGCATAGATATCTATTCTGACGTTTTTATGTATACCATGCACTTAGCGATTGTGCCGGAGCTGCCGCAATGTTCAATCCATGTTTGACTATCATGAGTAGTTGGACAAGGCCCGCCTGTGCGAGGCTGCACTCACGTGGGAGAGAGTTTCTGGAGTAATGTGGGTGAATGAAACATCATTTTTGTACAAGTTCAAGCGAATTCATTTCAGAAAGTATATTCGCATGCTTGAAGACGTTCAACAGCTCGTCGATCCTTCACGAAACATGTCCAAATATCGTCAACACCTTGCCGAAGTGTCACAGGAACCACCAGTTCGTAATTCAGTTACAATCATTTCAGCGGATTTTCAATAAATGACAACCTTACCGCTTAGGTCGTCCCAATCTATCCGGTGATCAGGAAGGATTTAACGTTTTCACACGAAGGAAATCCAACCTACTGCGATAAGCTTGTTAACTTTGAAAAGTTGCGGCTCATAGCAAAATCCGTACGAGCAGTCAGCAAGTTGAGCAGCGCGCCGTATGAAATTTCCAGTATGGCTGCAAGGGTTCGTCTTCTTCACTCTCGGAATCACGTAAAGATTTTCGTTCTGTGATACTTGTCAATTCAGAGCGGAAACTTAATAAGCGACGCTTTGCTTCACATGAACACCTTCGAAGGAGGCAACGTAGCGACTATGAGAAAAGGAGGTCGTGTAGTTCAGCCAAGGAAGAAAGTAAGCTCTTAGCTTTGATTATTTTGTGGAGAGATTTCATTTCGTTTTGGAGTTTTTTCAATAACTTCTGAGGGATATATCCGATACTCGAATTCCAGGTTTATGAACAAGCTCTTATGGTTCGAAAAGTGAAAGCGTATTTGGACGGATTGCGAGTAGTGGACTCGAATCTGAGTTGGATCGCCTTAGCTACGATATTGAGCCGCAACAACCAGGTTACTTGTTTTTAGCGTTGCACATTCAGTTGAAAGTTTCTTGGAAGACCACAACGGAAAAATTCGAAATTCTGTGAAACTGTACAAAGAAAGGTAATGATTTGAGGTCCACGCGTGCGCCGTGCTCCGAGCCCTTCCCCATCTTCGCTGTCGTCTCAGTCAGCAGAATCTAATTCAACAGAACAACGGCGATTCAAAGGCGGTGGAATGTTTGGCGTGGATTCCCCACAGGCGGTTCAAAAGATGCTGGGTTTGGTTCAGACGAGCAGATCCAAAGGTCTGAAATTGTCTGTGGGCAATTTTTGGCAATTTGAGTGAATGTTTGATATTCAGGTGCAGCTTCTCCGATGCCGTCACCAGCATCCTCTGTTTCCACTAAAGGTCTGCAGCGAAATGTGCCTCGGGTATCCGCTAGACAGCATTCAACTTCAGTTCAGCGAACACCCTCTTTTAAGCAGGAACCTGTTGATTTAAATAAGGAGTCAAGTTCTGTCACCAGTTTTTACGGTGCTGGTGAGTTCTTCGAAACAATTGATCACTCAGCATCATTTTCCTTTCTTATAATCTATTTTGCTTTTTGTTGCAGTATTTGTGATCATTTCGAGCTATTTTCTACATACTACTCAATTGTTTTACTTCATTTAATTGGGTAGTGATCCTCCCCACAACGCCGCCTTCCACAAATTTGACAGCGGAATTCACGCTGAAAAACAGCCAAATTGAAATCGAGGTAGAGGTGGTTAATGGGTGTTCACGGTAGAAAGTGTACTGGGGTTACGAAGTCTGAAGCTTTCCATGAATGGTGGCAAAGCGAGGATTCCAGATTACTTTCCGCTACGACTTGAGTGTCGCATGGGAAAGAAACGTTAAGATGCGCTCCACTACTCTCATCATACTATTTCTCCTCTTTCTCCAATTCTCAGCCTTTTTGAATTTTCGAGTAGTTGTTTTTATCACACTACTGCTCATCGTGTGTTGTGAGGTAGCGATCTGAAAGCACGCATGATTTCTGAGTCGGAAGCCACTATGTTATATGATGAAAAACGCCAGCAAAAAAGTCAAAAAGTGTTTAATATTGTTTTGTGACAATGTGTGGTTTTTGTGGGTGCTATGCATGGTTTTGATTTTATATTTATTTTGATTTTGCCAGTGTTGTTCTCCGTATTCGTGTTGTGCTGTGACCGTGATATTTCAGATGTGTTGATTTAATGCAATCCGAAGACGTGGAGTGTGCATCACCTATAGGTAGCTGCTACTTTCATTCTTCATTTGCGTAAGCTACCCGTCCTTATGAATACCTATTTCTGGTTTTATTCTTTATTCCTATTGCATTCTTTTATCTCTAAAATTTAATTCTTTGACTTTTTTGATAAATATAGTAGGGGGGAGGACAAAAAGCCGTTTTGCCATTGTCGAGTTTAATTTTTTTTCTCGCAGATTGTCGCTGTTAGCAGAAAATTTGCAGCATTATATTCCTGGAATGTCCCTCTATAAATACACGCAAGCCCTCCTTCACTGACCTTTCCGTCTTCTCAATAGAACGTCATATGCCATTGTCGTCGAGCTCAAGGAGACTTGAAGCTTCAACTTAGCGCCCTTGCATTGTTTCTCGAATCGATTCATAGTTGGACAGTTTCCTGGAGACATTAGCTCTACTGTGCAAACCTCCTCAAAATCCGTCTCCGTTTCTGGGGCAAATTTTCATGATGCCGTCTACGTAGAAATCTATGAAGTTTTATTATAAAATGGAATGTACTCTTCAACTGCAAGTCGGGAGCATTCGGTTTGAATTCAGCGATGTGTGATTAAATGAAAACATATCTGCCTTTATTACTTCCCCTCCCTTCTCCACCTTGTGCTATGCACTCTGGTGGTACACTTGTATGGCAGTAAAACCCTAAAGGTTAAAAACGACTTGTGAGGTGATAACTGCCACCTGTCTTTAACCACTTAGATATGATACCTTCTTTGTCCTACTATGTATACTCTTATAAACTATAACATTATAGTTGTAGTAATTCATTGTAGTTTTTGCATGTCCTTAGTTATCGAGGTGTTTGATCCGCAAGTCGCCTTTCAAAGTTTGTTCTTGTATAAAAATTAAATTAGTATAACTTGGACAGTTTTTTTATTCTGTCCCTTCACACGTGCCTACGGGCGCATGCATAGTCGGTCGTCCGACAGTCACGATCGTAACTGTCGTACAGCTTTAGATGCGTATCGATCGTCTAACTTGCCTTAATCGAGGATCGATACGTATCTATCTGTGTGACCGCGCCGATCCTTACTGTCGGATGGCTGACTAGGCATGCCCCCTAGGCAGTAAACATCTGGCTATACTGACTTCTTCGATGAATGTTTTGTTTTTAGGTACTATGGCAAGACAACCGTTTCCTGTTTCAACAAAGCCTCCTCACGCTGCCATAACTGTTGTGCAACCTGCTCGTTACAACAAGTGAGACACCATGTATTCTTGGCACTAACATTGGCTTCTAACGAAATCTGTAAATTTTCGTCTGCAAGGGAATCTGCAAAGGTTTTTTCACTCCTATTTTCCGTTTAGGCGTATCATCGATCGTTCTCCTCATTCTACGAATTTGTATCCGGTCACTGTGAGAAGTTCCTTATGCAGCGCAGGCATTTATGATTCCGTTGCTCCTTACTATTCCCTGAAAAGGTCTATGAACCTGCAGAACTACGCTGCAGGGGCTTCAGCAGCGGCAAAGGAGAATTCAGCCAAAGAAGGTTGGTCGAAATTGCTTAACTAGACAATAGATCACGACAAGAATTCGCAACTCGAACTGCTCCATTGTCCCAAAATGTGGGGCAAGTTTCATGTAAAGTGCCGCTTACTCTTCTGTCCTTAAAGGATTTTGATGGCTTGCGGCATGTAAACTTATACACGTTGACTATAAATGTTGTTATTTGATCCCTTAAAGGCCTTGGGTCCCTTGCGTTGAACTCCAGACCAGTATTTTAAGGTAAAATAAGTGCAGTGCTCTGAACATCCCTTAGTCCGCATACTAGTTTTTGTAGGTTAAATCAGTACAAGCAAAGCTACAAATCGTGATTAATGAATCTCTAGCGTTCTTTCGATTGTGTCGACCAATACCTCTTCATATTACTCCTTTTCAGTTTCCTTCATCAATGGAGAACAATCGTCCCATATCTAGTTTTTGTCAATGTCGTCCAGACTGCTAAATTCTCATTAATATTTTGTCTGAAACATGATTAATATGCAGGTTCTCTGACGGTTCGATTTCGCTTCCTCTTATTTGCTGGCTGCTACTTATTTCATGTTCTTTCTTTTGTTCTCTAGTAGCCTCGTTGAGGATAGAGTTGCTTAGATCCAACGTTTGGGTATTTATTCACTCTCGAATATAGCACAGATTGTAGCTAAGAAAGTCGTTCTTTCTACATGTTCTATCGATGAAAGGGTTACGGTTTTTGAGCGTAATGTGATCTTTTACATATTGAATCGTTAATTTGTGCTATCAATTTTAAACTTGCCATTTAAGAAAACTTTTGGTTGTAAGTTTTTATGTCTATTTCTAGTTGCTCATCTTTTCTGTGAAAGTTGTTATGTTTATATTAAATCAGATTAGTTTTGTCTAACACTTAAAGGCACATTCTAGATGAATATCGTTCACGATCTGACAGACCGCGTTTATCACATTTTTATGTATTCTATGTATCATTGAAATTGTATATTCTGACGTCCATGTATATTTAAATACTTGAGAGATCGTTAAGATTCAAATAAATATATAGATTGATCAGATATGGTTGCTCTGAAGGCTACTTGAACCTTCTTCCTTCCAGATGTGCTCACTGCCGAGTCGTTGCTTGGTTGCTTAAATAGACTTTTTTTGTAACTCTTGTTCTTTTCTCTTACCCTACCATTCCATTACTCACTATGATGCCCTCTTACGCGGTTTATTATGTTTTCAATTTTTCTGCAATGTTGTTGATAGCAGTTATCGCTTTCTGTTTCCTTCTTAAACAGTTGTCGGTTCACCTTCTCTGCCAACGAGCGCGCTCTGTGCATCACGTGAAAAAGCGAAGGGAAGTTTGTTGTTCGATTCATTTGGCATTTTTTTTTCTAGAGTCGTCAGTTTGTTTGTTGGGATTAGGAAAGTACATATATTTTCAGAATTAGGCCAGGGAAAGTGAACAAATACCGATCTGCGATCCCTATACGGCTGCTTCTATTCCATATGAAATTGTAGTAGATTCAAATAAGATTTGGCAACTCTTTTGTGGAAAACATGAAACTAGAGCATCTGTCCATGCGCGCTGTAAACTGTTTTACTTGACGCTGTACTACGTCCAAGAGTTGGACCGTTACTGTAAAAAAATATAGAAGCTGCGGAGTTAAAAGCAATGTGTTGTATTTACCTTGTAGGCGCTCATGTCGTTAGGGGGGGGGGTGGGATTGAAGTGACTGAGCCATCCGCAGAATTAGTCTCAAGAAGAAAGGGAATGGGGAGGAAGTAAGCAACCCTTCTTCTTACTGGTGTTTCTCCTCTCTCACCAGCGGTTTTTAACACATTGGAGACCACGCGTGTTTTACGTTCCGGCCGTGCGGGACTTTGGTGAGATTTTTAGGGACCTTATCTAGCAAATTCGAAAGAAGAACTCACTATGCAATGCAGAAGAAATCTTATCGCATAACATGGAAAAGAAAATTAATGAAAAACCTCATGAATGTTTCCGCATTGCGAGCTGAAAGGTCCTATGCGGTCGAAGGGGTGCAGCCCACATATGGGCTGCGTGGGCTCCAAGGTGTTAAAATGCTCGGTTTGGATATTCCTCCCCATCCCAAAATTATAAGCCTTCTTTTCTATTTCTTTTTATGTTTTGGTACTGCACTAAGTCTGTTTAGTGTTTGTTGGGCTCCCACAGTCCTTACGTTTCTTCTCAACTGTATCCATCCAGACGAAGGGTACGTTACAGGTGCCACTGTTATGGCCATGTCCCGTAATTGCAAATAATGACTAATAGACACGACAGCATAACTTATACCTGAGGGTAGTGGAACAGACCTACAATTATTAAAGAACGAGCTCGTGTGTACCAGGATTCTTCAATGTATTTGCATATTTTCGGATTGGTGCGCTCACTAAAGTTGCTTTCCAATTTCGAACCACGTAGTTGGTGCTGTCTTAGCTATGACGTAATGATGTGGTACTAAGTTTGGGTGAAAGGTGCAACTCGCAGAGTTTAGAAAATTGAAGTGACGTAATTTACAAATTGATCTATACTGAAAATGAACGGCACTACAGACGCTCAGCCGTTGAGGTCGAACTTTTTTTAAAGTTGCTATTCTTATGGTGCTTGACCAAATACGTTCCTATGTTGAAGTTTCCATATAAAGTGAATGCAATTCAGAGGGAGCTGCAGGCAACGTCGATTTGTGCATTTTCCATTCTGTCTTTCGTTTTATTCTCAGTGACTTCTAATCGTGCATGTGTTTGAGCTGTGATAATTCATTCATTAGGACTGCTCTTGTTCAGCATGCTCGCTCGGCTTGTTCCTCGTCTTGACACCAAGAAGACGTTGTTGTTCGTTTGTGATATGCAAGAAAAATTCAGGTAAATGTTTTCCTTATTGTGTACGATAGTTTATGGAGTACTTGTGAAAAGTGACCATATACTTCATCCAAGCTTGGTCGCCTTGGAAATCATGAATTTTGAGAGGAATGTTTTCCTATAGTAAATGTTAGGCCGATGTCATAGTTTGCGAATTGAGCGAATCGCTGAATCCGAGCGTTGCGCCAGCGAATCGAACTATGTACCAGCGACACACTGTTTGAAAGTGGCGGGACTTCCTTCAAACGTTTGGTCCCGCGACTTTCAAACAGTGTTGAGTCAGTTTTACATGGGAGGCGTGCGCTTCTCCTCTTGGGGTTAGGTCACCACAGTCACGCGATCATTGAAGTTTAAGGTTAGGTTTGGGTTTAGACTTAGGTTAAGGCTTATGCTCACACATTGGCTTATGCCTAAGCCTATGATTGAGCCTGAGCTTACTCCTAAGCCTGCTTCGAGCGAGTGAACGGTGTCTCAATTTCAGGTGACCTGACCCCAGGGGCGGTATTCAATCCTTCCCCCAGGGGGATATATCCCCCTACTCTAGGGGGACAAAAAAGGGTTGCGTCATAAGATCTCGCATACGTCTGTGTTTCTACCTGCCAGACAGTTAGAGCAGCGCGAACCCTCAGGAGAAGAGTGCTTCATCAGTGGAGGGTAGTAGCGCTGCTCTAACTGTCGCAGGTAGACAGGTATGCTAGGTCTCATGACGCAACCCTTTTTTGTCCCCCCAGAGGATTGAATCAGAGGAGGGGGATATGTCCCGCTGGGGGAAGGATTGAATACCGCCCCAGGAGGAGAAACGCTAAGCAGTCCCTATTCTCTGACGCAACACTTGGATCCAGCGATCATTTCGCTAACGAATCGCTCGCTTCGCAAAAAGTGACAGTGGCCTTAGGGCTTGAGTGAATTGGTTGGCTGTTGAAAATCCTTTTTTCATTTCATTTGAGAAAAAATGTTTCAGTAAGACGAACAAATTCTTCCCGGAAATCACACAAACAGCAAAACGAATTGTGGAGTCGGCGAACATTCTCCACATTCCAATCATCGTTACTGAACACTATCCGAAAGGCCTTGGACCCACTGTGTCAGAGCTAGGGCTCGATAATGCAGTGATTCGATATCCGAAAACTCAAGTAATTCCAAGGTCGTTTGCTTGCCGTTTTCGCCTATTTTGGTATTTTACCTTCTTCTGCTGGTGGATAGGAGTAGGAATTCAGGAAGTATTTCTTCTTGCCTTAGTAGCAGTGCAATACTTCGAGTAATCCGGCCCTCTGCCTCAAAATTGTTAGAAACCAGTTGTGGAAAAGAAATTGAGTGGGTCTCAGCGCTGGTAAAATATGTCCGAAAGGCCAAGTAAGTCTTCAAGGTTTGCAGGTTTCCTCGAATGGTGCATCATCCGATGTTGTTACATACTGAACTCACATTCATGCACTGCCATAGTGTTCACATCCAGAGCAGGAGATCACTCGCTTTTTACGCAAGCATCTGGACAGTGTTTTGATCGCTTTCGCGCACACCGTCGCGTAGTCGTGGAATCTACCCTGGTTACGCGTGTCAAATACGTTCAGGAAAATGTCGTGTGCGCAGTAGTGACTCACGCAAAATGACAGCACTGGGCTCGTTTTTGTGACAGCACTGCGGCCCGTTTTGCCGTAAATGAGTCAATGAAACCGCTGCTGCCAGGGAATTGCTGCTCCTGTGGACACGTTATGGTTCCAGAATGGGCCAAAATAACAGTCAATGTGCTATTCGTTTTCTGGCGTCAGCGAGTGCGGCGCTGGGCATTAATTGGAGCCCTAATTTGTTTCTGAAGACTATTGCATTTTGCATACTTAGAACGGTGTTTTCTTACAAAAGAAAAACACCGAACCCCTCGCACTTCTTTGCCAGGAATCTGATTACGTGTGAAGTACGCGTAGCCTTAGTTTTTGTTCAGCTTTACCTTACCCGTTCAGGGAGTTCGAGCAATATCCTCTGAATTCTTATTTTTAAAATCATTTTAGTTTTCTATGTGTGTCCCAGAGGTTGTGCCGTTCCTGGAGAACAAAGAAAGTGTGATTCTTGTCGGAATAGAAGCCCACGTATGCATTCTTCACACGACCTATGCTCTAATTGAGCGAGGCATCGACGTGCACGTTGTTGTGGATGCTGTCACTGCCAGAACACTCGTTGACAGGTATGAAGGAGAGAAAACTTTAAGCAGGGAACTTGTTTTCTGGTCACTCCGTGGAGCCAGTTGCGAATCTATTCCCACATTTTTGGATTGAAGCATTTCAGGAAATTTGGTTTCAAGCAGCTTGAGCGAGTTGGTGCTGTCCTAACCACGTCGGAGTGTGTGCTGATGGGTTTGCTCAAGGATGCGGCTCATCCAAAGTTCAAAGAAATTCAGAAACTTGTTATGACCGAAGCTCCTGATTCACGTTTGATGGAGATGTAGAATGACTAGCTGTCACATTATTCGACTACTGTTTTTGAAGAAGCATGCTAATCAGTGCAGAGTTCTAGAATTCTGCCGTAGCTACGCTCTAGAAATGGAGGATTTTTCGGTCTGAGACAAAAATAAACAACGTCAATCCAAAGAGTTGTTCCGATACGTCTATTTTTTGTGTTTCCAACTAACCTAAAAGGTGGTAATGCTTGGGGGGGGGGGGGTAATGAGAATTAGGTTTGACTCTAGAAAAGGTTTTCGAGTTACCTCGAGGCTTGTACTTTCCGTTTTCGTTCTTCATCCAGCTCTCGAATGGTTATGGTGCGGGTAAACAACGACTGGTAACGTAAAACGTTTCAATAATCTAGTTTTTTTAANGTGGTACTCAAGCCTTTTCCTAGGTGGTTGGTACACCATTACTTTACGAATAAATAATTCAAATGAAGTGTTGAATGTTTTCTGCAAGATGTGGTCTTTTTCTGATATTTCATTTCGTCTATTTTTACGTTCGCAAGAGTTTTTTCTTCACCTCTCTTACTCTTTTTGAACCTTGTCGTCCTATTTCAAATGAGAAACGTGTCCGGCTACTGAATCGTCTTTACATTCGCGCAGGTAGCCTGACTGAGTGTAATGGAAATACAGCAGGATGGTTTTATTGATTTTCCTTGAGGGTAAATGATTGGGAACAATCAAAACGGTGTGCTCACCATTGTTTTCATAAAGTGTTGTAGAAGTAGCACTAACTTGGAAGAAAAAAAGGCACGAATACCTTTCCTCGCTCCTGTTTTCTGTTAAATTGTAGAGTACTTGGCCTTAACCATTTTTAGGGGTGCGCCACGCATTCTACTTCCGTTCAGGATCATAGTTGAATGCGTTGGGCCTGTACTAGGATAGGGAGTGGGAAGGCGATGTGTTAGTTTGAGAAAAAAGTTCATTGAAATTTTGGTTATTTGCGAGATTTGCTTACAGGATCAGTGGGGAGAATGCAAAGGTAGGGGGAAGTGCGAGCTACCGGAGCTCCAGTTCGACGGTTATGTAATACGCATCTATACTTTTTAGGCAACAATTACTTCAGATGTCTGTGTGCAAGTCCCTATTTTCTCCAAGTTCCTACAAAAGCCATATTTACATCCGCGAGACTGCGCAATGCATATGTAGGAAGCGAGGTGCACTGCTAGTACTTGCGAATTATTGATGACGCTCAGGCACAGCCAGAAAACTTGCCAATTACTAAGCTAGCTTTCTCTAAAGTGCTTGAGTTTAGATCACACATAACCTTTTACTCGGACTGAGCGTCAGGGATCACTGTGTGCGTATCTTTGCTCCCGAATCCCCACAGGAAGAACTTCCTAATATATCGTGAATGGCGATGATAGCTGAGCTCAGCTCGTCATCCACTGGCGGCGTCAGCAGTCAGTGATCGCGGAAAGCCGAAGCTAACAAGCAGTGGATTTCTCGCGCTAAACCCCCTCTACAACAGTCAAGAGGTGACTGTATGAAAGATCTTGGATTGTTGTTGATGGGATTCTGAGGAATGCCCTAATTGAGCTGTTTCTCGGCGGATTCAGCATGTCCACTCATGTGCACACTTTACAAATGTAAAGCTGGGCGACGTTATCGAACGGAAAGCGCAGAAAAATTGTTTCACGGCATCGCCCGGTCGAATGTTTCAAAGCTGACCGTTTAGAAAGTTATCGAAAGTAGAAGGGAGGTGCCACACTATTCAAACTCACTATACCACCTGGCGCTACACGTCTCTCATTCATAGCCAATAGGAATCCAGCACCTGCTAACGATATCCTTGTCTATTAAATTTGACAAACAGTGCTGAGCAAGAACAATAGTTTTGGTGCAGTTCCGCTGCCCATTCGAAATCAAGGTAGAGGCTGGGATGAATAAGAAACATGACCAACGATCCAGAACCCTAAAATGGGAACCGTTTTCTACCCGTTGATTTCCGCATTGATATGATTCTCACCAGTGCTCCCGTCTTGAATTCTAGCGCCCTCTGCAGACTGTTATAGTTAGACGAGTGTGGGTGACGCAGGTATGGCCCTGCTAGGGCGCTGGGGGCATATTTCTACTGGGTATCACTCTTCCTTCGACCGCCGACCTTATCGTGAGATTTCCCTTCAATTTCGCGTGTTCGTCATCGCTCTTGCAGCCACTGATCATGTAGTGTTTCACGGTGAGGCTCAAGTGGTGTATGAAACTGCACGCTTCTACTGAGCTTCTTATTCCTTCTGGGAAAGACCGCCGAAGCTGCTCTTTCCAGTGGTTACCACTTTCGTACTACCGGAGTCAACCGTCGCTCAGGGTAAATTTCGGGTCAGCACTTCCAAGATATGTTAAGAGGCATCCCGGGAGTTTATTCCTTTTGAAAATACCAAGTTTTACTGGAAGGAACAGTTTCAAGCACCCTTTCGGTAAAGCACTACCCGTGATACATAGATTGCAAGAACAATGGCCACCATAAGAATAAAATATATTCCTGGTCAGTATTCTTACTCCAGAAATCTGTAGTCATAGTTGCCCTTTGAGATCTCGCCCGGCCTTGCTGAGGCAAGCATAAGCTGACATTCCACGAACTTCCGTAAATGTCAGGAAGAAATTCGCTGTTAGGTCTTCCCATTGAAGAGGTCTTAAAAATGGGAAACTCGCAAGTCCAAAATATTTTTGAAGAAGGACGCAGGTGTTGTCAGCATAGCATAGGTTCAGTACTTTTAGAATTCTACAAAGCCTGGCGACTTTTAAATTTGTTCACAGAACATCTTTTTGGAAAAGTAATGGGTTCGGCTTCAAACTTTTGCTGAAAATCATGCCATAAAACCTCAAATGCTTCGTAGAAGGTGATAACCATGATTAATTACCTTTTTGAGTGTGCTTATCGGATTTTTAGATTTCTTTTTTTTACATATTTCAATTTTTATTAGAATTTGTGGATTTTGTAGTATTAAGCGGTTACTGTGCCTTCCTCTTCTCCCTACCTCACCCCATACGTCTTCTTGTCTGTCCGTCCCCATCCCCTATCTGGAAACATCTTGGAGTTAGCGAGCGAGATTGAGGGAGGTAGATGTGTATCGTGTAGTGCCCAACAGCTCCTTGGCATTATCGGCTTGGGGTGATGGAGGAAGGACTTCGTGGGATGAGGCGTGGAATGAAATACTTTAACTGGATGAAGGGAGTGAGTGCTGTGCAGAACCCTCCTATCACTCGTTTTTGAAAGCAAACAGGTCAGGTCCTGATTCGACACTGAGCCGTGAACGTGGCGATCCGTAGAAATATGTACGATATCATCAAAGAAGGGGTTGAGGGAGGCGAGCGAAGCAAAGGAGGATTTGAATTTGTGCCAGCGATTTTTTAAGGAATAACTCAGGTGCAGGGTGAGTATTGGTCGAGGAAATCCTCGATATAGGGTCATGTCAGGATGGGTCATGGGGGGTCATACTCGTGGGGGTCAGTAGGTGCAGATTAGAGGGAGAGGGAGTAGCGCAGCAGAAAACGAGGATATGTGAGAAAACATGATACAAAATATTCATTGCAGATTAATTCGCTCCATCCCATGAGAAGGGCATTTTTCGAAAACAGTGCAAGGAATGAAAGTGCATCGCAGAAAACTGGGCCACATTCAAAGAAGTGTGGAAAGAAGCTAATCAAACTATTAGAAAGCGCAAACCTTCCGCTTTCTAAATTTTCTTCCTTTTGTCGGGTTCTCACGATTAGAGCAATATGCCCTGGCAAAAACTCGCATGAAAGTTCTAACCCATTGGCGACAATGCGATTTTGGCTCCCCTACTTTCTGCACGATTTGGGGCGCGGCCGCGGCGAGCGCGGCCGCGCCCCAAATCGTGCAGAAAGTATGGGAGCCTGCGATTTTTCGCTTGTCTGCCGCGACGAACCGCGCCTTTTTTGACATTTTTGAAAAATGTGTCATAATGCGGCTATCCACCTGCACCAAAAATGTTGAATCTTGAAGCATGAACTGTCAGAACTTTGCAAGTTTCGTATGGTTGCAGACCGCTTCCAAAATAAGCGTTAATCTTTAGGTTTTGCCGAGGGTGTATATTGGAGCATGCCAGAAAAAACTTCAAATCTCCACTTTAAAACCCGTAAATGGGGTCGGATCCAGATCTCTCTTTGTGAAATGTTGTAGCATTACTCTAGCTGACTCCAGGCGAAAAGCCAGTCCGGATGCATTCAAAAATAACAAGCTTTGCCTTGGAAAATCATTCATGTACCGCTCGTGTAAAAAACATCAACTAAGGAAGATATGCACTGACCATTAGTACGTAAGACAACGCCTTCCTGATCAGTATGCTATAGGAACACTTCTGGAAATCTGGAAAATGAGAAGAGTTATCTCAATGCTGCGTCCCCGCGTCGAGCCGCAATGTCGCCAATGGGTTAAAGTCCTCGACGCTTACTCAACAAGATTTGAAATACCCTACTTCTCCGAGTGTAGGGATTTTAGAGCAATTTCTGGTAGTAGCGAACCAAGCTATATCTAATCCTTCCACATACTGCTCAGAAGGTTATGAAAAGGGAGACTGGTACCTTTTCAACGAGGGTGTAGATTTTGATGGTTTGGAGCGGGGTTTCGACCAGGGATAGTCTGCGCTGCAGCTGTATACTTTAAAGTAAATACTTGGGAGGTAAGAACGTCCTGAGCCGACTTTTCGAAAGCTCCAGAACTTTCGCTTATTGATTGACCTTCAATCTGCTACGTGATAGATTATCGCTGTCCATCATACTTCTCCGCAGTAGGTATCTGTAGCCGGGTTGCCTTCTTTAACGTTAATCGTGACGTCGATTCCACAAGAGCACCTTCGAGCGATCGTCTTCAATGAATGGCGCTGCGGCACATGAGCAGTGGGAACCGTCAACAACATCAGCAGCGCATTGCGAAGGGACACCAGTTCCATCATCAGTGCTAGGCTCCGGTTCGATGCTTCAAAGGAGGAGACACGGCTTCCGAAGCAAGTAATGGTTGGGGAGCCCCCAAACAGGGGAAGACTTCACCGTTCTTGGCGCTGTCGAAGAGGATCCGAAGGTTAGCTCCCGCAGCCTTGTTATAAGACTCAGGTGCACCCATCCCACAGTCCTCAGCCTCCTCCACGCCCTCGCCACAGGAATGTGCCGACTCGATGGAGCCCTCATGTCTTGGCTAATAGCACGCGGTTCAGGCGGGTACCCATACGTCAGTTGCTCCTTCTTTGTCCGCACCGAAAGGAGTTTTTGGAAGGCATGATTACGAGAGATGAGAGTTGGGTCCTCTGCGATCCTAACAAGCACAGTGTCGTGTGGCTCCCTCGAGGAAAAGACCCGCCGACACAAGCAAAATCGGGCCTACACCCCAAAAGCTGTCTTCTTTGCTGCCTCTGGGATTTACGAGGAATGTTGTATTGTGAGCTGTTCCCGCAAGGGCATACCGCTGCCGGTAGCATTTACGCCAGTCAGTTCCAGAAACTAGCGGACGCTGTTCGAGAAAAACGACCGAGACGAATTTCTGTCCACCTACCAGGGTGAATAACGGTCGAGGAAATCCTCGACAGAGGGTCGTATTTGCTCCGATGAGAGTTGGGAGGGGGTCGTAATCAAAAGGATCGTCAACGGACACAGCGGTGTTGCTGCCACTTATTTGCTGTCGTCAATAGTTCACAAATGTTGTAGTCAGCCTAATGCAAATAATATCTTACAACTGTCTGGAAGCAAAATTTAAATGGAAAGTGGTTGTTGGTTTGGTTCGTAATGATCAATGTGGCATAGGAAGGCAACGCGTCCTGCAAAAGAATCGTAGTGAGTATTTACTCTAGAATGATGCACATACGTCGAGAACTTAGTATAGGAACAGCATTTTGGTAGAAATTTCAAACCAGGTGCATTCGCAGCTTTCTTGGCATCATCAGATCCTGCAACCGCAAGCTGTATTCATCAGAACGGGTTGAAAAGGAAGCGATTTGAACAAAGGAGTGATCAGACATCACTATGACCACAAGCGTTATCTTAATTAGTTAATATTGGAAATATATTTTGGTGTGCTTAAGCAAGTCGTCACTAGGACAAAACACCTTCCCAATGAGTCCGAGTGGGTCACTGCATGGCGCAACACAAGAACGGAATGAATCTGCGCCAAGTGCATCATTTTCAATTTACTCCATAGAAATGACGTGTACAGAAGCAATTTGAAGGTGTTCAAAGAAGTTCTGTACTACGCCGCGGGAGTAATAGGGTTTCCGAGTGGCTTCGAAACTTTCCTTGACATTTCCTCGACGCAGGTTTCTCGCGAGTTGGTAAGCGTTCGAAACAACTGAAGCACCTATCAAAAAGCGTAAATCTTCTACTTTACAACGCTTTTCTTCGATTTTCAAGGCATTGCCAATGAAGACAGCTACTGTCTTCCAAAAAGTGGGAACTCGCATGTAAATTTTAGTTTCCTCGACAATTACTCGACGTCTCCCATTCTCGAGAATAGGCGTGCTTAGAAAAACGCTTACCACAACTTAGAAACTAGAAGTATCGTGCATTCAGAAGCTGCTTTCTATTTTTGAAATGGTCATCAATAAAGAATGGTATAGTCCTTTGAATTGACGGTACATTTGACGATTTTTCCAACTAGCGCGCTCTAGGCACAGCGCGCCACGCGATCGCGGGTAGTTAACGCCGCTATACTGGAACGCGAGACTGTTCAACTGTGTAGGGGCTGTACCTCCTTCAATGTTCTACTTTCCGGCCAATCTGGCAAAGTTTAAATGTCTTCAAAAGAAAGAAGCAGAACCTAGTCTGAGCAAAATTGAATCTAGCATTCGGATCAGGCCGCATTTGCGTGGCAGCGGCGCTGCGTCCCTCTCGCACATCTGAAACTAGCATTTTTTGATATGAAACCGGATGTGCTGAGGACAGAAAGGGGTCGTATCGGAGTCCATACTTTGAAGGGGGGTCGTAAAGAGGCGGTTATTTCCTCGACACGATTTTCACCCTGCCACCTACCACGGTGACGACAGGCCCCACATAGCTAAACAGACCGTGCAAAATTGGAAGAGCTGATCTGGGACACGCTTCCCTACCCACCCCATCCCTTGACATTGCTCTCTATGGATATCACTTATTTCATTACCTTAAGGTATTTTTAGCGAAGAAAAAATTCACCAAAGTTGAAGACGTTGAAGGAGCGGTCAGCGATTTCTTTGACTCTCAGTCTGCTTAGTTCAGGGAGAAGGGGGTCGCTGACCTGTCCATCAGGTGAGACTCTGTAGTGAGTAAAGGATAATAAAGGATAAAGCATTTGCCGCTTTGAGCAATCCCGTTTTGGGATGCGGCACGCATTCTACTTCCATTTGTACATTCGCAGTGGGATTGAATGCGATGTGGCCTTACAATGACTTCCGGGGGCCAGCGATGTTCAAGTCAGTGTTTTTTATCCTCCAGAAAGTCTGGTACCAATTAACGACCCCGGAGGGATGGAAGGCTTGGTTGGCCGGACGACTCACGACCCAGGATTTGTTCCGGACCGCTCGCGTGGTGAAGCGCCGCCACTTGTCACTGCACCACTTCCGCCCTGTAGTGAGTAACAATGATGATAATATTGTTAGTAGATTCCACTGTACGCGGAATAAAAAGTAAAGCACCAAAAATGTCAAACGGCTCAAGACTTTCTTACCATCCTAATACATATAATACATCTCGTTTATTCACAATCTACTAAGAGTAGGATCAAGACCCCGATTTTAGGGGAGTCTACTGCTGCGACCACGTCTCGACACGATTTCCACACTGTTCTGGTGACGGCTATTAAGCGCGATTCCTTTTTGAGTTATTATACGAGTTGAGTGTTGTTTGTTTTTTTTTTTTCATGCTTTGCTTTACCGAACTAACTATCTTCCTTGTTGTAGCTCACCATTAAGTGCACATAATAAATAAATAAATAAATAATAAATAAATAAATAAATAAATAATGTCAAGGGAACTTACCAAAAATCATCGAAAACTCTAGCCATTAATCTTCAACGTATATTTATTGACAACAAGGAAGGCCTTGAGCGAGTCTAGCATAAACGATGGAGACGAGTGGAGATTCATAATGCAGTGCCCATTTTGCGGCTGGCGCGTTCCATTGGGGAGTGGCAGGGGAGAGGAACTGTAACTGCCGGAATTGGACATAAAGTTGAGCAACAAGATCATTGTTATAAGATTGGTCGGTAAAGCTCTGGACGGTCGTTTACCAATTGCAAATGACTGATATACAAAAATTTCTGCATGGTCATTCGCTGTAGAAAATGCGTCTAAGAGCTCAAAATAGTCACTTGCTCTTGATCTCTAATTTAGCTCACCGATTTTCCTATCGCTATCGATTATTGTTATCTAGAACTTCCACGTAACACGCATTTACTAACACGAGATCATGTCTGGCGCAGCTACGGAGTCCGAGTTAGTTAGCTTCATTATTCAGCAAAAGTGTTCGAATTATGGTCTATTTCAAAAGTTTTTTGTGTTGACAAGAAATTTCGAAAGCTTCTCTTCCTATCCTTTGTGCCACTTTTGATATCTCTCTTTATTCTAATTGCTCAGTATAATGGCATCAAGAATTATCAGTCGTCTCAGTCCAAAGAATTCCGCTCTATTCGTGTGCGATCTTCAGGAGCGATTCAGGTTCATTTTCAATCTTACGATTTAGCTGTTTTTGATCTTTTCCTGAGTTGATAGTGCACTCTACCTTATGCCAAGTTTGCAGAAACGTCATACAGTTCTTCCCGGGCATTGCGGAAACATCCAAGAGAATGGTCGATGCAGCAAAGATTCTACAGATGCCAATTATCGTCACTGAGCAATACCCGAAGGGGCTCGGACATACGATCCCAGACCTAGGACTTGGCGACATCAAAAAATATGAAAAAACTAGGGTACGTCGCTGAGAATGAGATATGTTTTACAACTTTCTTCTTCCAGTAATCTACATCTATTCATCCCTCCATTCCAATAGGATTGCATTCATATTCTGTTCTCCACGAGTTCTGTTTTGATATTTCTGTTTGGGCGCTTCTGTTCTAGGGGGGGGGGGGTATCGCTATGCGCACTGGGCTTGGAAGGAGAGAATGAACTTCGGAAGAGCGAAATCGCTTGCACACCCTATCCCTTGTTCCGTCTCAAGACTTCCTGGATGGGATAAGGAGGTGGGAATGCTGGATGTGCTGGTTTCTGCGCACAACGATGGCCCACAAGTACACCAACGCCTCCATTTCTCGTGTGGGTAAAATAAAGGGGCGCTATGGCAAGATACGGGGCATCCTATAGAACCAATCCTAGAAGAGGCAGAAACATCGAAAAAAATGGAAATAACACCACGCTGGGCTCTCTCCTCGCCGCCTGAGCCTTAGTCCCGTTTTTAACGAAAAAGAGATGATTTATAGTTCACATATCGGAGTTTGATTAGGCGTGTCACCGGAAATGACGTGACGAACGCCCACTTGATAGAAGTTATGTGGATGAGCCGCTTCTGGCCTATCTCTGGTCTCCAGCTAATAAGTTGGAAGCGGCTTATCCGCACAACTTCCATCAAGTGCAGCAGTGGCCACGTCGTCCGGAGCCAAGGCTAATCTGACTTCAAGATATGGACTGTACTTGGTTTCACCAAGTACCCGTATTGTAATAGCGCCAGTGAATACAGGCAGATCAAAGTAAGGCGCAAGTTTGGCTTCGTGCTCCATCGGTGTACAAGTACCTGCACCTCTGTTCATGCCGGCAGGTGCTCACAAGCAGGGTCAACTGTGCGTTGCGGTTGCTCACTTTTTAAGGAGGGAATCGTATTTTGGGTCGGTAAAGGTCGAAAGATGGGGAATAGGAGGTTTGTTTTTGAAAGATGGATGGATTGTAGTGGCGGGTAGGGGGTCGTTTGGCGGATTCTAACAATTTTGGGGAAGGATTTATGAAAGAGGCAAGAAGTAGGAAACTAGAATGTTCTCCGATTTTTAGACATATTCACGCTCCCTCTCAACCCCTTAGCCACCGGCCTGTTTTGGAGCGCCTCATGGAATAGCTCATTGGCGTCACGGACGCGAGCGCGGGTGACGTTACTTTGTCGTCGAAGCGACGGCGAGCGAATAGCAAGGCTGGAGCAAATACTTTATAACATTACGTATTAGACAACACCGACTCTAATTCACTGCGCAGTAGCAAAAGGATACTAGCGAGTAAGGAACTAACTAAATTCGATGAAACTTCGAATTAATAGCTCGTTAGTGTTTACACACGGAACCATTGATGCCTCTACATTCGTAAGCAAAATCCTAATTTCGATGACGAAAGTTGTACCATCTGCATTACAATCACTTTGCTCACGGCACTACTGATTGTTGTTTCGTCCTCTTGTCGCCGTTGCTGCATGTAATGTCACCTGCATGTGCTCACGTCTGCGCCGCCAATGAGCTTTTCCTCCTTCCCCCCTCTCCCCTAAAAAAAGGGAGGTAGGCGGATTTGTGGCTGTGTCGACTGGTCCCAGAATCGAATGTAATAGCAGCACTCGTGCTGGAGGTGGTGTTTAGGGGTGGGGAGGAGGGTGCCATATTGGCGGAGTCTCCTCCCCCAAGACTAGTGGTGGTGCTGGGGAGTCCTATCGAGACCCTCCCTCAAGGAGGAGGTCGTAAAATTTTTGAAATCTGTGGAATACACTCATGACCCTGGTTGCAAGGCAAGTAATGGAATCTTTTGAAGAAATCGGAAGAACGAGTTTTTCGATAGCAATTCGGGTAATTATGACAAGAAGGAGCATTGTAAATTGGAAGACTCTTTCCGTACACATCAATTTTTTCAGAGGTTTCAGACCTAAAGAACAAAAGAAAAAAAAGTCAATGGAAAAAAGCAGATCAGTACTTTTACATGATTTACGGCGACTGCTTGGGTTTCCAGTTGACATACAGTTGGAATGGTGGTGGAAGGTGGCCTTGAGAAATTCCTTATCAAGGATTTGTCCCACATTAGTTTGCGTGCGGTTAATATTTCGTTTCATATCACTAGAGGCTCATGGCATGTGTCCTTTTTTTCTCTTCCCCAGCTTTAGTCCCGCGCAATCACAGGGTCCGTTGAGTCATACATATGAACGTCAAATATGTATACTATGGGAAATGGGTGGCTTACTTCATATGTACAACTGAAGTCAAGCCTTGTCTCCATAGTTTCCACTTTTCCACAGTAGCTCGAAGACACCCAAAATTTTATTCTACTCTCTTACTATGTAACGTGCATTGGCATACATATTGTCTTGATTCACACAAGTACTACTTGTTATCGTAGCGATGTTGAAGAGGCCGTAGTCTCAATCCCTAGACCGTCAGAAACATTTTTCATAGAGGTTTTGTCTTTCGAACCCTCGAGCTATGGATATTCGTTTGAAATCTTTCTGCTGACTTCGGAGATAATGATTGAATGCATATTTGTTGGATAGGGTTGACAGTACGATTTCATTCATTTGTGAACACCGCTAACAGCTTTACTTTCAGTTTTCGATGTGTGTCCCAGAGGTTGACGCTGTCTTGCAAAACGCAGAAAATATAATTTTGGTCGGAATCGAGGCTCATGTATGTGTACTTCAAACCACACTTGATCTTCTTGAAAAGGGAAAGAACGTGCACGTGGTCGTCGATGCTGTCAGCTCCCGGTCACTGCCTGACAGGTGAATGTTTTTGATTGCTCTATGTAGTGCGCTGCGATCTATGGCACTTCGCCAACTTGTCAGTTAATTAAAAATATACACCTATCAAAAAGCAAAAAAGACAAGTTGAATGCAGTGAATGCTGTAACCTCGGGTGGGTTTGCAATAGAAGAGAGGATGCTGAATGGTGCGCCAGTGGCAGATAAAGAAAAGGGGCGGAAGTGGTGTAGTGGCAAGAGGCACGCTTACCACGCGATCGGTCCGGGGATCAAATCCTGGGTCGTGAGTCGCCCGGGCCAACCATGCCTTTCATCTCCCGGGGTCGGTTAGTTGGTACCAGACTTATTTGGGAGGTTAAAGAACACTAACTTGTACATCAGCTGGCCCCCGCAAGTCATTGTTTAGACCACATCGCATTCAAACGCCACTACGAATATACAAACGCAAGTAGAATGCGTGCCGCATTTCATAAAGGGATTGATCAACGGAAAAGAAGTGAACAAACTCGCGGAATAGGACCCTTATTCGATTGTTGCTTTTGAAGGAGGTAACGACTCAGTCAACCCTACGTTGCGCAGTTCTCAAAAGCCACCTTGCGCAGGTTCGCTTGACTGGCGATATGAGCACGTTCTCTCGGGCGCGAACATTCACCTCGCATGCTGAGCCCGTTTGTGTCTACAGCCCACTACAGCGTATTTGAGGATCTCTGACGTGCCGATTGCGAACTGCGCCACGCAGGGTTGACTCTGCGTCACGAAAGTCACTTCTTTCCTTCAGAGTTGTCTCACGTACGACAGATATTGACCCGAGGACAGGATATACAAAATACGCGAGCCAAATAAAAATTCATTACAACTGAAGGAATATCGCGAAATCCACCCTGATGGATGACGCCATTCGAACGCCACGGCCGACACGGCGGCACGTTTGATTGAAGGCCAACTAAAGCGCTGCAGCTATTCTTAAATACGGACACCCGTCCCTCATATGCCCTGGCTGGCATCTTCCGGTAAGCATTTACTTCTTCGATGGCGCACTCACTTATCATATCCAGTGCCCTTAAGTAATTTATGACAAAGGAGGATCGAGCTTCTGCGCCCACACATAGGATGAACTACGTACCTTTGCTGGGTAACGCTATTGTCAGAGTCCGTGGTCCGTCGCGGTTTCGCTGATTTTCGCTATTTGCGCGAAACTGGCGACGGATAGCAAAAACGAGTGGCTCATTTGAACAATTTGAAACACTGATATGATCAAGTGAATCATGAGCAGTCGTAATCAGCCATCCCTATCAAGTCAGAGGTGGCGGCGGGATTGGAGAACTCCTGCAGTACCTGATCGGGCACCTGTGATTTCCGCGACCTCGCGTGAACCCGCGCAAATCGCGAAAATTAGCGAAACCGGCGACGGATCGCAGATCTGACCCAGCCTTAGCTCGGCTTGCATACTGTGAAAATCGAGACTGCTGCCAAGATTTACAACTTTTTAAGAACACTGCACCAGAGTCGTAGGTGTTGAGGATTGGAGGTGGCAACTCGTTCTAGAAGCAGAACATACACCGCAACATAGTGGGATCACTCACTCGTGTCAGCTACTGTAACACCAGCCTGAGAGGTGTTAGAATTTTGAGCTTACTACTATGATGGCCGTTTCGATCAACAATTCTATGCGATTTGATTATAGAAATCGTATAATTAAAAAAAATCATCTAGAACTCCCTATTAATAGAAAAACGAATATGTTGCCTATAAGTAACTCGATCTACTCTCAGATAGTAATGAAGAATGTTATATTACAAAAGAACACAGCACATGACAAGAGTCCAGGCAAAATGGCCATATTTGATTAGAATGTATTTTCGTGGAATCTACAATATTTCTGGGCAGACCTCGAAATGTCTGCTTTGCGAATACATTTCTTGACTACGTAATGAAAACGAACTATTATACGATATAGTCTGGTTCCCATGCAGAATTCATAAGTAAGACACTCGTAAGTTCACTTTCTTGGCTTTTCTAGCAAAAGACTTGAAACCTTTGGCTCACGTCACTTTCATTAAAATTGGCTTTATGAATAGATAAAAGAATTTGCAAGTACTCCCACGCCGTTCTGGCTGTCTGTTCAATTCATTATTTGTCTGTTGCCTCTATAAAACGCATTAAATTTTGTCTGCCAAATAGGTATGAAATTCATTTTTAGGTAACAAAACGTCCCTTGAAACCAATTTCTAGCAGATATATCAGTCATCTGGCTATTTCGGAAAAGTGACCTCGCTGTCCTCGAACACCTGGTTTCGTGACGGATTTATTTATTTATTCCTATGCACTCTTGGGTGCGCAGCATTAGCTCAACGAAACCATTTACTTAAGGAAGAAGGAAATGAAAATGTCTCAGAAAACAAATAAGTGTCTGGCTCGCTTCCTCGCAGAAACACACGCGCTGAATAGGTCCCTATTGGGTAGTCTATTATTGCTGTCTGCGGATAGCACCATTTACCTGGGCCCTTTTTCGACTTCATCTTCGACTTCATAGTTCCAACTTGGCTGGAAGTTTGCCCTGGGATAGTTGCACTACACTACCACCATCACTCCCATCAGCGTTTGAAGGGCGCCAAAATCTTCGAAGTGAGGAAATGAAGATATAGGAATAGGCTCACCTGCCAAATTGTCTAAAGCGTAAACTGCGGTCGACTAGTGGTAAAGAAAGAAAGTGGACCTTTCAATGGCCAACCACACATGAGCAAGAATAATCGCGTGTGTCGAACCCAAGGCGCGACCACCTGAAGAATCACCGTTGCGTCTGTTTGGTCGTTGTTAGATTGTCCACAGTTTGCACGCTTCTACAGTGCGTACCAAAACTATGTGGAACACTAAAAATCGATTTCCCAGAAGTCAGTTGAAGGTTTTTTGTGCTTAATGAACTCACATTCAAACTCAAGTGTCGATAACCTATTTTCGTTCTAACTTAGCGAACTATTTTTCATGAAAATTTTTTTCTTTGTACGCAAAATTATGTTGGACACCCTGAGCAGATCAAGTTTTGACATACGATTCTTGATCTATTTTACTTCTCCTTTCATTACTTATCTATGCATCGTTCTCTTCACGGCAAGCGTAATTTTTGAAGAAAAACCATGCACGAATATGGATCCCCATTCTTCTGAAACGCTTCCTATTGCGAAATAGCACGTCAACCCAGTCATAGCGTCCTCGTATCTTGGAAAAATCCGCAATCCTGATGCTAAGCTCTCCGACTTTGACTGGGGTTGTTCCCAATCTGCTACTTGTTCAAACACGAGAGACTCGGCCTTAATTTTCACAAAAACTTTTCTTTTCGTCTATTCACACGTTGCACGCATGAGTGTTTTCTTCCTTATCTTCAAAATAAAAGACGCATGTTGGTGTCCGCTTCCATCAATTGACACACGAACCCGAAGAGAGAAAGAAGAGGCGTTATATATTGAATGCGAGTTCAATTTGACAAGCTTGGCAATTTCCACTAAAAAAAAAGGATCACAGACATTGATACCTTGTACCCACCCAGACAGCGCTTTCGTGGAACTGGATAAATTAGTATAAAAGTACTACTGTGGGTTTTACTGACTTCATAACGCTATCTGGATGGCAAAAAGAAGCTGA